TGGCCATTGTCCAGTTAATCGTTCTGATTCAAAAGACAATACATTTCTCTTACTCTCTGAGGAGGTGAGGTAGTACCACCTAGATTAGGTCCATAGGAATGGGAGATGGGAGTTTATCCTCTAGGTATTTACCTTTCCAAACAGACCTGGGGTCAGCACTAAGAGACATTTCAAGACTTCAAAAGTCTGGACAAGAGTCTGGCCTCGGATAGATTTTTACTACAAAGAATTACAGTGGGAGGAGACCTTTCAGGAAGAGAGGAGGACAGTTGTCTTCTCCTCTTTATCAAGAGAGAAAAGTCACTTCTCTTCATCCCTGTATCTATGATGTGCTTGGACACTCATGTTAGAAAAATGTCAATCAGCTCTCCAATGTGCTGTCCCAGGGTTAGATTGTGGGGGAGGAGACTTATCTTAAAACATTCCTTTCTCCTGAATCAAGTCTTTAGACAAGCTTTATTTCTTTAATGAATTACAAATAACAGAATCTTTGTATATAACCTATAAGATCCCTGCTTCCAGATGTCCCACCTTTTCGAGCCAAAACCAATGTTCACCTTCCATGTATTGACTTACAATTTTATCTGCAGTTCTTGTCCTCCTACAACATATAAAACCAAACTGTAACCTGACTGTCTCAGGGCCACTTACTTAAGCCTTCTTGGGTGTCATGCTCCCTGGACTGAGATCACACATTATTGGCTCGGAATAAACCTCTTTTTTTTTTTCAGGACAGAATTCACTCTGTCCTGGCTAGAGTGTAGGTGGTGCAATCATAGCTCACTGCAACTTCAAACTCCTGTTCTCAAGGGATCCTCCCACCTCAGCTCCAGAGTAGCTGGGACTACACACATGCAGCACCATGCTTGACTCCTTTTTTTTTTTTTTTTGAGACAGAGTCTCACTCTTGTTGGCCAGGCTAGAGTGAGTGCCGTGGCGTCAGCCTGGCTCACAGCAACTCAATCTCCGGGGCTCAGTGATCCTACTGCCTCAGCCTCCCGAGTAGCTGGGACTACAGGCATGTGCCACCATGCCCGGCTAATTTTTTGTATATATATTTTTAGTTGGTCAATTAATTTATTTCTATTTTTGGTAGAGACGGGGTCTCGCTCAGGCTGGTTCGACTCCTGACCTTGAGCAATCTGCCCTGCCTCGCTCCAAAGTGCATAGATTATAGGCGTGAGCCACCACGCCCGGCCGACTCCTTTTTTTAATTTTTATTTTTGTAGAAATGAGGTATTGCGTATGTTGCTTTAGGCTAGTCTCATACTCCTGGCCTCAAGTGATCTTCCTGACTTGGCCTCCTAAACATTGCATATATGAATTTTTTAATATGACAAGTGTCCATTGCAGATGCTAGTATCAATAAATGGATACTAAAACTCTTGGTATCCATATGGAAAAAATTGTTAATAGAAAAAACCTGCAAAATAATTTTAAAAGGTTTATTCTGAGCCAATATAACTTACCATAGGCCCTCTGGTCCACAAATCCAAGAAGTCTTAAGTGGTCCTGAGGCAGTCAGATTGTTTTGTTTTATACATTTTAGGAAGACAGGAATTGCAGGTAAAAATCACAGATCAATACTTGGAAGGTATACATTGATTTAGAGAAAACAGTGAGGACATCTCGAAGCAGGGCACTTACAGGTTATAGGTAGGTCCAGAAATTCTTTGATTTGTAATTACTTAAAAAAATAAAGCTTTGTCTAAAAACTTGGAGTCAGTAGAAAGGAATACTTAAGGGGGTCTTCTTAATCATAGAACAAGCCACAACATACTGACTCAAAGTGATCTGTTAAACAAATTGATGACCAAGAAGTATGACTTAACCTCTGTCTTGCCTCACCTTAGGTCCAGTTTACAATTAAACTCCAAAAGGAGGGGGTATAAGGAATCCTGTCTGACCTCCTTCACTTCATGTCCAGGAAACTCAGTTTAAAATTTTTTCTGGGGGTCCCTTGGTTAAGAGGGGGCCATTCAGTCTGGGGTCTGATGAGCGTTGTGTTATGATTTTTTTTTAGTCTGAATCTGTTCCAAATTGAAATGAGGAGTTTAAATGTTAAATTTAAAACTTTGGAAACCATTAGAAAAAAAATGTAGGAGAGCTGGGCACTGTGGCTCACGCCTGTAGCCCTTGCTCTCTGGGAGGCCGAGGCGGGCGGATTGCTCGAGTTCCGGAGTTCGAAACCAGCCTGAGCAAGAGCGAGACCCCATTTCTACTACAAATGGAAAGAAATTAATTGGCCAACTAAAAATATATACAGGCCGGGCGCGGTGGCTCAAGCCTGTAATCCTAGCTCTCTGGTGAGCCGAGGCGGGTGGATTGCTCGAGTCGGGAGTCAAAACCATCCTGAACGAGACTCCGTCTCTACCAAAAAATAGGAAAGAAATTAATTGACCCAACTAAAAATATTATACAAAAAATTAGCGGCATGATGGTACATGCCTGTAGTCCCAGCTACTTCGGAGGCTGAGGCAGGAGGATCGCTTGAGCCCAGGAGTTTGAGGTTGCTGTGAGCTAGGCTGACGCCACGGCACTCACTCTAGCCAGGGCAACAAAAGTGAGACTCTGTCTCAAAAAAAAAAAAAAAAATAAACTTGTGGGCCGGGCGCGATGGCTCAGGCCTGTAATCCTAGCACTCTGGGAGTGAGGCGGGCAGATTGCTCGAAGTCAGGAGTTCGAAACCAGCCTAAGCAAGAGCAAGACCCTGTCTCTACTATAAAATAGAAAGAAAGTAATTGGCCAACTAATATATATAGAAAAAATTAGCCGGGCATGGTGGCACAGGCCTGTAGTCCCAGCTACTTGGGAGGCTGAGGCAGCAGGATTGCTTGAGCCCAGGAGTTTGAGGTTGCTGTGAGCTAGGCTGACGCTACGGCACTCACTCTAGCCTGGGCAACAAAGTGAGACTCTGTCTCTAAATAAATACATAAATAAAAATAAAATAAAATAAAATAAACTTGTGTTCATCAAACACCAACGTGTAAAGATAAATCACAGATATTTACAACAAACATCACTGACAAAAATGTAATATCCAAAACATAGCACTACAAAACAATAAGGAAAAGACAAACAATTCAATAGAAAATTGATAGGTACAAAGATATGAGTGAACAGGTATTTCAGAGAAAAGGAAACATGGCCGATAAACAAGAGAAGATGCTCAAATACATTGTGATGAAAGTGAGAATAAAAACCAGAAAGAGAAGGCCGGGCGCGGTGGCTCACGCCTGTAATCCTAGCTCTTGGGAGGCCGAGGCGGGCGGATTACTCAAGGTCAGGAGTTCAAAACCAGCCTGAGCAAGAGCGAGACCCCGTCTCTACTATAAATAGAAAGAAATTAATGGCAACTGATATATATATATATAAAAATTAGCCGGGCATGGTGGCGCATGCCTGTATCCAGTACTCGAGGAGCTGGAGCAGAAGGATGCGCTTGAGCCAGGAGTTTGAGGTTGCTGTGAGCTAGGCTGACGCCACGGCACTCACTCTAGCCTGGACAACAAACCGAGACTCTGTGTCAAAAAAAAAAAAAAAAACAGAAAGAGATACTACTTCAGACCCATTAGACTGACAAAACAAGTTTTTACTGTCTCACAATATCAGTGTTGGGGAGTGACAACTTGAATCCCCAGACGCGGATGAGGGTTGTCAGTACAAACACGTGATACTCCAATTTGGCACAATCTTTCGAGGCTGAAAATTTGCATCTCCACCACCAGCAACCACACTCATGGTCCAACAGACAAACTCCAGACAGCAGCACCAGGAGGGCAGGTAAGCACGGAGGGAGGGCGAGGATGCTCCCCCCCATATGATGGTGACAAGCTGGGTGCAGATGGGGAGCAGAGACCAGGGGAAACCAGTAACCAGGGGCAGGGGCAGCAGCCCAGCAGGTGCCGGGCAGGGGAGGCATGGGCCGGGCCAGGGTCAGCTGGGCAGAGGCCGGGCATGGGCCCGGCCAGGGTCAGCCGGGCATGGGCGGGCAGGAGAGGCCGGGCTTGGGCTGGGCCAGGGGAAGCCGGGCAGGGGCTGGGCAGGGGAGACCGGGCATGGGGAGACCGGGCAGGGGAGGCAGGGTCAGCCGGGCATGGGGAGGCTGGGCAGGGGCCTAGCAGGGGAGGCCAGGCAGGGGCTGGGCCAGGGTCAGCCGGGCAGGGGTCGGGCCAGGGTCAGCCGGGCAGGGGCCGGGTAGGGGCTCAGCCAGGCAGGGGCCAGGCAAGGGTGGTCGGGTAAGGGCTGTGGCCAAGCAAGGGCCGGGCAAGGGTGGCGCCGGCCAGGGGAGCTGCAGACCCGGCCCCGCCTCGCGACGCAGAGCCGCGTTGCTCAGCAACCGAGGTGGGCGGGAGCCTGGGTAAGTGTGGCGAGCTTCCGCTGGGCGCGCCGGGCCGGCCGGAAGTGACTCTCGGGGCGGGGCCTGGGGAGCGCGGCTGGCGGCGCGGCGGCAGGTGAGTGAACGCGGCCCGTCCTCCTGGCGCGTGCACGCGGCGGGCAGCCTAGGGGGGCCCCTCTTGGCTGCGGTGCACGGTCTGTCCGCCTCGGTGCCCCGGCCCCGGGTGTCCCCGGCCCCGCTCCCCGCCGCAGCCGGCCCCGCCCCTCACGGGCCCCGCCCCGTGTCCCCGCCGCCCCCTCGGCCGGGGGCGCCCAGGCGGGGCCGGTCGGACGGCTGCGGCCGGAGCGGAAGGTCAGTCCTGGCCTCGCCCCTCCCGCAGCCTGGGCTTCAGTGGCGTGCACTTCGAGCCTCGGTTTGCCCCAGAGACAGGATTAACTCCCTCCGGGAAGCCTCACACCCCACGTTGGCTCCACGGCATGCAAGCTAGCCGTTGGTGCTTTAGTTCACGCTGAATAGTAAAACAAGAACGTCTCATCCAAGGGTCACACATTCATGTTCTGTTATCAGGACATTGTCTGTAAGCAAATCAGTAAGACTAACTGGCCGAGAACCCGGAACTCAGCTGCTGTTTATTTACACACCTAGAGGGAGTGTAAGGTACAGTCAGGTACAGTCTGTTTTACTGAACGAAAAGCAAGACAGCGATTAAAAGGGAAGAAAACAGTCTGTGGAAGGTTTCCCAGCCCTCCCGTAAATTGAATGGATGACAGCTGTCAAGGAGAGAGTTTGCCCTTGAACAGGCTGATTTGTTATCAGAGTAGGCAACTTGAGTTGCTTGTGGGTTCTCAGTAACCTTGTGATTTCAGCTGAAGAGCTTGGGTGATTTCCTCACTTGTACGTACCAGCTGCTAACGTCCTTCTGCTGGCAGCGCCACATCACACCACTTCTTTCACTGCAGATTCACAGTGAGCATTCAGTTAGAGCAGCTGGGACGAGCTCAACAAATACTCCTGAGTGTCTGCTGGGTGCCAGACTTCCCAGGCTTCTATGTGCTGAGGATATGGTACTCAACAAAACAGACAAACTTCCTGTCCTCAAGGAGCAATTCTACTGCAGGAGACAGATAATAAATTAGATAAATAATCAAAATATGGAGCATGTGAACAGGGAAGGAGGAAATAACGGTAATGACCCAGGCTTCAAGTGGACATTTATTCGGGGCAGTTTACCAGCTCTGAGTCCTGATTGCGCCAGTTGGGATGCTTTTGGCTTCAAGTATCAGGAATCCTTTAAAACTGATTCCAACTATGGAGGGATTCCACTGGCTTTCACAGTGAAAGGTCTAGGGAACCAGGAGTAAGATGGGGTCTGAGACGTGAGTGAGATCATGGTGGGGGATGTCTTACCACTTCTCCACGCTTTCATATACCTTCTCTCTGCCCTATGTCCCTTGGCCTTTTTCTCAGGCTCCTACTTCTAGTCTACCTTCCTGTAGTAGTTATCTGCTTGTAAAAAATTAACACAAAGCTTAATGGATTGAAACAACCAACATTTATTATCCAACAGTTTCTGTGGATCAGGAATTCAGTGGCTTACCTAGCTGACTATGGCTCAGGGTTTCTGGGGTTGCTGTCATCTAAAAGCTTGATTGGAGCTGGAGAATCTGATGTCAAGATGGCTCTCTCACGTGGCTAATGACTGGAGGCCTTTGGTCCTTTCTGGACTGTTGGCTGGAATCTTCATTTTCATGCCTGGTGGACCTTTGTGTAGGGCCTGTGTGCTCACATGGTAACTGTCGTCTTTCAGAGCAAGTGATCTCAGGGAGAAGGGGGAAGGTTTCCACCACAATACCTTTTATGACCTAGTTTTGAAATTCTAAAACAGTTACTTGTACCACATTCTCTTTATTAGTGTTACTACCTACAAAGGGTGTCATCTTCTGAAGGGAGGAATAGCAAAGAGTTTGTGAACATATGTTAAAACCCCCATACCGGCCGGGTGTGGTGGCTCACGCCTGTAATCCTAGCACTCTGGGAGGCCAAGGTGGGCAGATTGCTAGAGGTCAGGAGTTCGAAACCAGCCTGAGCAAGAGCGAGACCCCGCTTCTACTATAAATAGAAAGAAATTAATTGGCCAACTAAGATATATGTAGAAAAACTTAGCCGGGCATGGTGGCGCATGCCTGTAGTCCCAGCTACTTGGGAGGCGAGGCAGGAGGATTGCTGAGCCCAGGAGTTTGAGGTTGCTGTGAGCTAGGCTAACGCCACTGCACTCTAGCTCGGGCAACAGAGTGAGTCTCTGTCTCAAAAAAAAAAGAACTGTGGCCATTGTCCAGTTAATCGTTCTGATTCAAAAAGACAATACAATTTCTCTTAACTCTCTGAGGAGGTGAGGTAGTACCACCTAGATTAGGTCCATAGGAATTGGGGAGATGGGAGTGTTATCCTTCTAGGTATTTACCTTCCAAAGCAGACCTGGGGTCAGGCACTAAGAGACATTTCTAAGACTTCAAAAGTCTGGACAAGAGTCTGGCCTCTGGATAGATTTTATTTACTAGCCAAAGAATTACAGTGGGAGGAGACCCTTTCAGGAAGAGAGGAGGACAGTTGTCTTCTCCTCTTTATCAAGAGAGAAAAGTCACTTCTCTTCATCCCTTATCTATGATGTGCTTGGACACTCATGTAGAAAAAATGTCAATCAGCTCTCAATGTGCTGTCCCAGGGGTTAGAATTGTGGGGGAGGAGACTTATCTTAAAACATTCCTTTCTCCTGATTCCAAGTCTTTAGACAAAGCTTTATTTCTTTAATGAATTACAAATAACAGAATCTTTGTATAACCTATAAGATCCCTGCTTCCAGATGTCCCACCTTTTCGAGCCAAACCAATGTTCACCTTCCATGTATTGACTTACAATTTTATCTGCAGTTCTTGTCCTCCTACAACATATAAAACCAAACTGTAACCTGACTGTCTCAGGGCCACTTACTTAAGCCTTCTTGGGTGTCAGCTCCCTGGACTGAGATCACACATATTGGCTCGGAATAAACCTCTTTTTTTTTTTTTTCAGGACAGAATCTCACTCTGTCCTGGCTAGAGTGTAGTGGTGCAATCATAGCTCACTGCAACTTCAAACTCCTGTTCTCAAGGGATCCTCCCACCTCAGCCTCCAGAGTAGCTGGGACTACACACATGCAGCACCATGCTTGACTCCTTTTTTTTTTTTTTTTTTATCTTTGAGACATGAGTCCTCACTTCTGTTGCCCAGCGCCTGTAGAGTCGCGAGTGCCGTTGCGATCAGCCGCCTGGTCACAGCAATACCTCCAATTCTCCGGGGCTCAGCGATCCTACGCCCCTGCTCTCAGCGCTCGCCGAGTAGCTGGGACTGAAGGCATCCTGCCACCATGCCCCAGGCCCTAATTTTCCGTTATAGTACGCTTTTATTTAGATTGCGTCCAGATTAACCTTATTTCTACTTTTTGGTAAGACGGGGTCTCGCCCTCCAGGCTGGTGTTTCGAACTCCTGGACTTCAGAGCAATCCGCCTGCCCGCTCGGCCCATCCGCCACAAGTGCTTAGGATTATCACGGCGTGAGCCCCACGCCCGGCCGACTCTTTTTTAATTCTTTTTTTGGTAGAAATGAGGGCGATTGCCTATGTTGGCTTAGGCTAGGTGCCTCGATACTCCTGGCCTCAAGTGCAAACAACAAGACTTTGCCTCAAACACTAAACACACACAAACAGTGCACTGGAATTTTTTAAAATAGACAATGTGTCTTGCAGATGGCTAGTATCATAAATGATACACAACACATGGTTACCATATGAACAAAATGTTAATAAAAAAACCTGCAAAGTACACTTTTCAACAAGGTTCACCACATATCACACATCAATGCCCTCTGCTCCACAAATCCCAAGATAGTCTTAAGGTGGTCCTTGAGGCAGATCAGATGTTCTTGTTTTATACATTTTAGGAGACACAATGCGGTAAAAATCACAGACTCAATGACTCTGGACGGTATACAT